AGTACATATATAAATATGCTAACATATACTATTTTTGTACTACCTTATAATAACGATCCACAAAAACCTTTTTATAACAGTGTTGTGTCCGTTACAATATTCACTAACGTTCAACAGTCAAGAAGAGACACCATTTAGTCAGCACCTGAAGAAGACCTCAGTGGAGGTCGAAAATGTTAGTGAATATTGTAACGGACACAACACTGTTATAAAAAGGTTTTTGTGGATAGTTATTACTCAATTAGAAGTTGTATTGTGTTACCTTATAATATTTTATAAATACCTCTGAGGATGTTTTATTGCCAGCATTCATATGTAATTTGTTTATAATATTAAAAAATATTTTTTCATTTTAAGTAGCTTGTCTTCATGACTGGTATGATTATTACATTCTGAAACATCCTGGGCTGACCAAAACAAGTTGAATTTTATTTAGCTCAGTTCTAGTTACACCAAACTGAGTTAAGCAACTATCCTCATATCTAGTGAGTTAGTTTTTAAAAGAGATTATAACTCACTAGATATACTGAATTATCCATAGCACACTATACTTTTCATCTTTGCTATATTTAATGCATATATTTTTATTTTTCTTTTAATTCATTATATTTAGCAAAGGATCTTTATTGAATTTCATCATCTATTAACTAATACGTCAAGTTTCAAAGGTAGTTCCTAAGATCATAAATTATTAATAATGAATCTGAGTGTATTATTATTATTATTATGTTGCAAATGTCATGCTCAGCTAATACTGGTGCCAAGTGTTATGTCAGACTAAACTCAAGGCATAGCTACCCAACAAGTATAATAGTAAGCTTCTGTGTTAATGGTGTATGTGTGCATGTCTAGAAACTTCCTAACAATGTGACAAGTATTCAATATTGCAGCTTTCTGTAATGTCGCGTATGTTTTTATTAAGATTTAACGTATATAGACTTTTATGTAGTACTAGCTTACTTGTCGCACATTGCTGCGATCTCAGAAGAAAGGAAATTCAAGCAAACTTGTTATGATAAAATTAAATTTACATTTTATCATTTCTATTGAAACTTATTATTCATTTTCATCGGGAAAATATTTCAAAGTGTCGTTTCAATTCTATTTATTTATTGGAGTGTTTGTGGATACATGATATTTTTTGTTATTCCGTCTGGTGCGTACATGAATAAATCAGAAGGTTTTCCGACGCATGAGCTGGCCACATACAGTTGTCCATGTTAGAAGCACAGATTCTCAAAATTTAGCCCACACACTTGCAGCGATTGTCAGAATTGCGATATTCCCCATTTTTTATATATATTTTTTAATCCTTTATAATTTTAATTATTTAATTGCTCCTTCCTCTCTTCCTTGGCATGTTGTGAAATTTCTGATAGCTGGATAATAAACCGTTTTATTGTAAATTGTCTTTTAAAATTATTTTGAGTTGATATTAAAATTTGGAAAAGAGGGATCCCTATATCGGTAAAATACGCGAATTTCTTTCTACAACTTCGGTTGTTGTTCAGGATACAGTTAAGGTTTTAACAAAGTTTGAGCAAATACATAATTAGCAAAAAAAGTTGAAATAAAGTGATTAAACAAAAATTATTACAAATATCGTAAATAATAAATGCATATATAGAGATATTTTTTGAAGGGGGGAAATGGTCTTCACAATTTGAAATCGAT